AGATATTGTAGTTTTCACGTTGTTGATCTTGTGATTTTGATGACCATAAGCTTAACCATCGATTATCAGCATCATAGGTGGCTTCACCCAGTAACATAAGAAATATTAATAAAACTAATCCACTCCATTGACTTGTACACAAAGGACATCAGTCACCTTTTTACTCATCGTGTTTTTCATCCTTTGAAAGACCAAAGTCAGCAAAATCGAAAAACTCGTTTTGGATGTTTCTGTCACTTTGTACAATGGTAAGGGAACTTTTCGACTTCGGTGATGCCGGGACAGCTGACTATGAACGTGGATGTAGGAGACAACATGTCCGGATGTTGTACAATCTCTAAGAATGTAATTTAGCTTAGCAGTAGAACACCAAGTTTATTTGTAACAAAGACCCTCAAGCAGTGAATGTTGCTGAAACAAGAGGTCAACAGCTGTGTTCCAAAATCGGAGAAAACTTTACTGATTGTCTCGCTTTTTAATTGCGCAGTGTCTGATCTATTTATACCATATGGAGTCGAAATAGATTTGGATGGAGATTTTTTGCAGACGAGTTGAAGAAAAATCATTTTTGCAAGTTACTTATTAGCATAAGGACATGACTAATTCGAAAATATTTCTGCTCAGGTCTTTTCCGTTACTGAGATAGGCGGTATTATCCGTAAAATAACTACCTTTCCTGTCGGCTACTTATAATCATACCTTTATGAATAAAATTACATAAGTAGTTCGAGTACAGTATAGAGACAAGTTGCTTACTTTTCATTGATAGAAATCGTGAAAAAATCAGAAGTCCGACATGGTTAAAAGTGGAGAAAGACCAAAATTTGGAAAATTTGCGCGCTGTCGCCGCCCACGGAAGACGTTTTCATAAAATTACAACTGCCAGAGAATCTAAGTACAAAGCTACAGCTGCCTAAATAATCAGATTCACCAAAAAATCTTGCCTTTGAAGCAATAAATAAGAGGCAGTTTTTAGGAAATAATGCCTCTTATCTCGGTAACGGAAAAGACCTGAGCAGAAATATTTTCGAATTAGTCATGTCCTTATGCTAATAAGTAACTTGCAAAAAAGATTTTTCTTCAACTCGTCTGCAAAAAAACTCCAGCCAAATCTATTTCGACTCCATATGCTTTGATTTCGAGCAGTGAAAGCAACGAATGATAAAATGAAAAATTATCAACACCGTTTTATTTTTAAACATAGATGACGTTTCGTTAACTACTGTTAACTTCTTCAGAAACATCGAAATAGAAAATACTTATAAACACACGCGGATGAAAAAGAATGAAAGCGTTTTCATTCTTAAATTGTCAAATTTCATTTTGTAACCAAATAATTACTTACGTAAATAATTAATTACGTATGTCTATAGAAAACCAGCTGATACTGCATTGTATTTAAAATGGACCAGTAAGCAACCAAAAAATTATAAGATTAATTTAATAAAAACATTATGTACACATGCTAAACGAATATGTTCTTCCGATGATCTGTTTGGAAAAGAATTAAATTACTATTTAAAAACATTTACTGAGAATCCATTAAATGTAATTAAGAAAACAATACGTGATACTCGGTTGCACAAAAATTAAAATGTAAACAGTAAACGAACTCAACCGATAGGTATGAGAATAATATTCGTTTCGATGCCATACTATGGGCGATGCTCTTTAGTCTTAGCTCATCAGATAAAACGATTAGTAGATCATCTGATGAAGCAAATTATCTTTGGCTTTAAATCAACAAAACGCATTTCAACAATATTTAGTTCGACATTTAAGGCAGAAAAAGACAAGAAAACAGTTGTTTATCATTATGACTGCAAAGATTGTAATGGTTGTTATGTTTATCGAACAACGAGGGGAGTTGAAGTAAGTGAAAACAAACATAAGAAGGCTTTAAAAGGCATCGGTCATTCTAAAATTGCTGAACATTGCCTTAACAACAAACATCAGAACAATTGGAATGCTAATATTCTGGCCATTGAATCAAGTAATACAAAAAGAGTAATCAAAGAAACTCTGCTAATGAATTACTTTTCAAAGAATAAAGGAAGGAATGTTTATTCTCCAGCGAGTTACAATTTGAATGTATTTTGAGATGTTGTACAGGAGAAGTTTTGGCTGCAAAATGAAATTTATCAATTTAAGAATGAAAACGTTTTAATTCTTTTTCATCCGCGTGTGTTTATAAGTATTTTCTATTTCGATGTTTCTGAAGAAGTTAACAGTAGTTAACGAAACGTCATCTATGTTTAAAAATAAAACGGTATTGATAATTCTTCATTTTATCATGTGTCTGATCTAGTTTGAAACCAATTATATGGCTTAATGCAAAGCTCATACTGCGATAGCACAGGTCGCAAATGGATTTGAAGCTTAATGCAAAAGTGCAGTCAATGTTGCAGCGAGGTAAATACCTTCGATGTCGAAATCCACATGCTGGGAGTTACTCCATCCTACGAGGAGCTGTCAGAATTCTTTCTGTACTGTAAACGGTAGCGTAAGATAAAAACATCTGTGAAGTCCATGTTCAGGGACAATAAAAACATTTTTTCAGGTTTTTTTGGCTGAAAAATGTTTGGTGCCCTTCACTGCCCAATTCCACCCTCTTTGTCAATCTTCACGATCTGCTCCCCTCGTGGGTGGTGACATTGTTTGTGTATAGTCTCTAGCCATATCCTGATGTAAATAATTTGAGCCATACATCAGAAGTGATACTACCTTTTACAGATATTTCATCTTCAATAATACTGTTCTTATCAAAAGTTTTAGATAAACCAATAAAACTACCTTCAGC